GTGTGGAGGTACCCTTAAAAAAAAAAAAAAAAAAAAAAAAAAAAAACTCTAAAAAAAAAAAAAAAAAGAGTAAGTGGATACCCTCTGCAGCAGAGAAAACAATCCATCCACGTCCTCATACATCTTTGTCCCGTTGTGCAGACTTTGGGTTCCCCAGATCCTTTTGCATCCTGTCACCTAAGCCAAGGGGCTCAGCTCAAACATCCCCCTTTTTCTGGGAAGACTGTTCTTTCTCACCTCACCTTGGGTGCTCCTCTTTGAAGTTTCTCGTATACTTTCTATCATCACTTTTCATAGTACATTATAATTTTGACCTAACCTTTGTGACTTCCCCATAAATGTCTAGTGCCTCAAAAGTGGGTGCTTTAATTTTATGTCTCCACCTCCTGACCCACAGGGATGCTGAATGAATGAAGTGAACAGCACTTTTTTTTTTTTTGAGAGATTTTTTTACTATAGGATGCATGCGCTCGCCAGACAGACAGAGAGACAGAAAGCGAGAAATCGCCCCCCAGGGGGGATGGTCACACCATATTCCCTTCTCCTGCATTCTCCTCTCGGGAACTTGGGCATGCACGCACACACGCCAGGCGTGAGTTTTAAGCCACCGGGTCTGGGACGCGAACCGCAGTCGACTTCATGGGAGTCCAGCGACATAGCCATTACGGGAACTGCTGGTCCCTGAACAGCACATTTTTAATGCTTCAAAGTATCAGAACGATGCTCAGCAATATAATAAATGTATTGTCTGGTTTGAAAAGTTCTCGTTGGAAATAATGATCCATCAAACGAGATTCTCTTTTCTCCCAAGAGACTCAATTAGCCTGAGATCCATACGTCCTCACACTTTCTCCTTCACGCACACAGCCCTGCCATAACCTCACTCCTGCCTCATTACGGAAGAAAATGAAGAGAAACATTTTCTTGCATCATTCTGCTCTCTCTCCCCTCTTCCCACCTCAGTCCTCTCTGTATGAAATAACAGTACTACCAACCATGAATAAAAATACTTTGTCCTTAAAATTTATGCTCAAGCATTCTCATAAAGTGTTATTTTAAAGCATAGTAAAGAAAAAAAAAAACACCTTCAAAGTACAATAGAGAACTAATTAAGCAAGTCATGATACGTCTATACGATATTGTATTAGGCATAATTATTTTTAAAGTTTCCAAAAGCATAAAAATTTATTGTGGTATAATGTTAAAAGAAATTAAAAGTAGCAGGATACAAAATTGCACAGATTATAGGATCCCAATAGCAGAAATGTATGTACAGAAAAGGTTTCGGAAAAAAAATAAACCCAAACATTAACAGTGGTCATTTCTGAGTGGTGGAACTCTAATGAGGTGTACTATTCTATCTTTTCTTAATTTATGATATTTTTATAATTTTTTTCTCTCTCTCTCTTTTTTTCTTTTTTTGGAGAGGTTTTTGCTTTAGGGCATGTGTGCTCACCAGACAGACAGAGAGAGACAGAGAGATAGAAAGCAAGAAATCACCCCCCAGGAGGGATGGCCACGCCGCAATCCCTTCTCCTCCATTCTCTTCTTGGGATCTTAGGCACGCACGCACACGCGCCCAGTGTGAGTTTTTAAGCCACTGGGTCCGGGACGCGAACCACACTCGACTACATGGGAGTCCAGCAACATAGCCATTATGCTAACTGCTGGTCCCTATTTTTATAATTTTAAAAAGTAAGTTTCGGGCCAGTAGGTGGCATGGTGGATAAGGCAGCTGGATCCTGCATGTCTTACTATGCAGTTGGAGTCCCAGACCCAGTGGCTTTAAAAACACACCAGGTTGGAGCCAACAGGTGGCATGATGTTTAAGGTCACTGGACTCCCACATGGCTGACTGCGGTTCAAATCCTGGATGGCTTGCTTTCTCTCTCTCTCTCCTGTCTCTCTCTGCTCTCTCTCTCTTTCCAAATTAAAAAACAAATAAATAAAGTTAAATAAAATAATTCTTAAAAACAACAACACACAGGGAACCAGCGGTTAGCGTAATGGCTATGTTGCTGGACTCCCACATAGTAGACCACGGGTCATGTTCCGGACCTGGTGGCTTCGAAA